GCATTCCTAACTTTTGAGGACTTCACTTTGCAACCTTAAGATTCTTTTACTGTAAAGGGAAAGTTCTAGGGTTTTTTTAAGGAAACGTAAAAATAAACAAATTCCATCATATATGACGATTTACTAGCCAGCACTAGAACATTGTATATGGCACCATTCCTTGTTTGTGACCTCATATTGTATGAAATTCTGTTCTTTGAATTGAAAACATGGAAGTGTGTATTGGAGGACAAATACTCTCCAAATAGGCTTCCTGTACCCACAGAACAAACTAAGTTTAAATTGTTGCAACTCAGTCAACACATACACACACATATTCACACACTCATATGTTATCTCCTTACCAATTTCATGTTTCTAACAACTCCTTTTGAGTGCTATTATTCTTCAAAAAATTGAACCCCCCCCCCAAAACCAAAACTTCCTCCAAACATCCTTGCAGGAATTGGATATTTCCCCCATTCTCTTTTGTTTAAAAAAAACAATGGAACTATTTTTGCTTATATTTTCATAAAAAGTGTAGAAGCACAGTATGAACAAATGGGGCAAATTTCAGCTCAGAAATGTAATTTGGCATGTTTATAAATTATCCTTTAGAACATAAATACTTACACAACCTTGAAGTGTATATACACAATTGTTTTCAAAGTAACCCAGATTTGATGGTGTTGAGAAACAGCCCTGAAGCAAATAACTTCAGTAGATGGGAATACTTTGGTTCACTGAAAAATGAACCTGTCTGTGGTACAAAAATATAAAATACAAACAGCTAAATAATTATCCCTTTTGGCCACCAGTCAAAATCAGTTATTCAAACCTATAAAGAAGGTTGAATCAAGATGATGTGTCATCTTGACAGTAAGGCTCATTTTAAATGGTTTCTCTCACAAGTATTACCAGCAGCTAGATAAAGTAATAGTAACATGTGGGAATAATCTTTTCATGTTCAGTTGCCACCAGTTTGAAGCTATTTATTTTATTGCAGTATCAACCACTACAAAACCAATTTTTCACCTATGTCAGGGAAAAATAGAATTCCCGTGCATTGTTCGGTAATTTTCCCTTGTAAAGTTCTTGTGAAAGAATCTGCTGTCTCATTCAAATATAAATCTATTCAGCACAAGAAAACAAGCTTAGCTGCTATAGCTTCCAGAATACTGCATCTTTCAAAGTGTATACACTTAAAAAAAACCCAAAAAAGCCTTTTAGAGTAAAGGGCTGCAGATTGGTGTTTATAGGATTTATATATCATTTGTACTACAGGCAGTCCCCGGTTACATGGATCCGACTTACATCAGATCCCTACTTACAAACGGGGTGAGGCAACCCCGCACTAGCTGCTTCCCCCCAGCAGACCAGGGAGACGCGGAGCGGCTTTTCTCAGCAGACACCTCAGCTTGAGAATAAAGGACTGAAGGAAGTGAGGTGTGGGAGAATAAAACTGAGCTCTGGAGAAATGTTTGGCTAGAGTTTCCCCTACAACATGTACCAGTTCCGACTTACGTACAAATTCAACTTAAGAACAAACCTACAGTCCCTATCTTGTACGTAACCCGGGGACTGCCTGTACTTCTAAAAAATGCATATTGGTATGCATAACAAACACGAACTTATGTACTTCCTGCAGTTTCCTTTATCAAGAATGAAGTCTGCTCACCTGTATAATAACCAGTAGGTAGCCTGACCATTGCAGTTCCACTAGACAGTGGGGGGTGGGGGAGGAAGGAACAGGAAAATGAAAGGTTCTCTGAAGGAGGAAGAGAATACCATAGCTCCATGTAGGATGGAGCCAAGTGCCATGGCACCCTACTCAGTGGGAGCACAAGGGATTTTATATAGGCCAGGTGTCTGTCTAGTCAATCTACAAACTGTATATATGTGCTGTCCAAAACCAACATGAAGATACAAATATGTTTGCCTACAACATATGGATTCCAAGGACTGGTTGCACAGGTGACTGGAAAAAGTATTGCTCCATCCATATTCTCTAATTCATTTACTCAGGATTTGTAAATGAACCTTGAAGTGTATATACAAATATGAATTGTATCCAGTCCCTTAAAAAGTGTATCCCTAGGCCAAGAAATCCACACATATGGCTTCAGTAAATAGGCCTCATTTACATACTTATACTCGGGGGCAGATGAGAGTTTTGCGGGGCCCAGGACAGCACAATATCGCGCCCCCCCTTTGGGAAAAAAACAGAAAAAAGGGGTGTCCCCCCCATGCCCACTCCTTCAGTAGCCCCACACTGATCATGTGAGCTACCCCCTCCTCATCCCCTCTCCTAACACCTCCCTCTACACACCTGCTATGCCTCTCTCCTCTGGTGCTGGTCCCTCCCCTGAAGGTGTCTGCCCTTCTGCTTCACCCCCAGAATCCCCTGGCACCTGCACCTTCCCTTATCCCTGCACCCTCCTGGTGCCTCCCCTTTCCCTCATTGCCCCTGCGCCCTTTGCCTTCTTTTTCCCTGATGCCCACCCCCTCGCCATCCTCTGCCCCCATTCCTCTCATGCCCCTGTGCCCTCACACATGCCTTGCTCCATCCCCGCCTTCCTCACACCCACCCCTCCTTTCAAGCCTTCTCCCAGCACCTCCCCCTCCCCCCTTTAGCTCCCAATGCCCTTACCCTCTCCTCTCCCAGCATCACCCTGTCCCCCCTCCGACTAACACCTCCCCTCCTGCCCTCTTCCTCATTGTCTCCACTTGACCCCTGGCATTTGTCTATCCT